GAGTAATAGCTGAGATCACATCAGAATGTGTTAGTATGATTGTAGTAATAACTTTCTATACCTGATGTGTGACTGCACTCCTGATTAGGATTAACAGTAAGTGAATAAAATTTACCATAAGCAACATTTTTTTTTTAATATAATGTAAGCCCTTAATATGAAATAGGACAAAAGAAGAATTCTTGTGGCTGATTTATTTCCAACTGCTAATTCTAATCTTTCTTAATTGTTTAAAGGTGTTAGGTAATTTTTAGACCTTCTATCTATGTTTCATCATTTGATGTAATGTGTCAATATCGTTATTTTGAATTCAAGTAGTAAATTTGTCTCAGTTTGTATGTATACCCTCAGGGAAAATAATAAATAAAAAATAATAATACAAGGAAAAGTATTTGATTCTTGGTGATAGTTAGTGAGGATGGTGTGTGACATATTGCTTTCTGGGAACAGGTTCTTTCTCATTCATGCTGAAAAACCCCTTACACTTAAATAACGTCTAGGAAGAAAAGAACTACTGGAGGAGTAAAGTAGTAATTAGCATCAGTGTGGTATTAGATTTGGCCTCCTAGCCATCTAAAATGGAAGCAAACTTTGCTTTTCCCATATCTGTAGTTGTTCCTGATAGGAGCTAAGCTTCTAATATCGGTGTGAAGAGTAAGAATGGATCAGCAGGTACAGGTGCTCAGCCTGAAAACGTTTGAGGAAAAATCATTTAAAGTAGTGTCAAATCTCCTTGATCACACAGCGTGATAGAAGATGCAGAAGGATTTTGCAACAGGCTTCAAGGATGGAGGTGGGGGGTTTCTATGCTGTGCTGAAGTGTAGGTGGCTTTCTGGGAGGTCTCATGCCTTGAGTATGTAGGCAATTAGGCTGCAGTTCTGTGAATAGAAGTAATTTTGTTGAAATTGTAAAGATGTTGATATCCGGACACAAATTTGTACATGCTTGTATTCATAAACTCAGCTGAGGCACTCGTTAGAGTTATAATAAAAGAAGATTGAGATCAGTTGTCATGTTTAAGGCAAGACCAGTCTGCTAAAGTTGGTGATGGAAACCTCATTAATCTGGGTGGTTTTGAAAAAAAGTCTAAAGTATCCATTCTAGTATATAGTAGGAAACAGCCCTGTCCTAATAAAGCAAGTGGCAAACAAGCTCAGAGAGATATTCTGCCTTTAATTTCTGCAACTGTGGTTCCTAGTAGGTCTGTTTTGAATTAGAGCAATAGAAGACAAGGAAGAACATTGGTCTTTATTTGATTACGTGAAACTCAAACTGAATAAAAGCACATCTTACATTAGATCACCATATGCACTTAGCCTTTGCCCTCTTGAGGGAGGAGGGATTTTGACAAAGATGGATGCTTCTCTAAACCCAGATTTATTTATCAAAGGAATGTTTCACAGTGGTCACTCAGTTCAGTTTTAAAATATCAAATTACTAAAGATCTAATTCCCCAACAAAAGCCTGTCTCTGACATCCTTTAACCTAAACAGAAAATTGGAACAACTTTTAACAGTGGCCTGAGCAGAGAATCTGATAGCAGTGACTGAACTTAATAATTAAGAATAACAATAGTTTATAAGGATAAAGAAGAAATGCAGAGTCAGGTCCATAATGATCATTTTGTGAGTGTGAATCATGCTGTGGTTTTTGTGGGTAGGAGTGCAACTTACTCTCCTGTGTGCACCAGAGGTACAATTTGTTCTGAGCCCTTCACCATTTTTGTCTCTTTTTCCATCTTAAGTAAATGAGCTGGCAAGCACCTCGGAATTGTGGTCAGGATTGTGATGGGGTTTTGTTGGTCCATTTCTTTCCCACAGTTATGTTTTTTATTTGCAAGAAGCAGAAGAGAGATTAAAGCCTTCCAGTTCTACCTAAAATGAATATCACATACTATAGCTGTTTCCATTCTGAAACTTGAAGGTCTAGCAACACAGGGAGCTCAGGATGTAAACATGAAAGCATGAAGCAGGCAAGTAGTGCAGAATTATCCTACCAACTAGGATTAAGCTCTCAAATTTAATGTAGTTTTAATACAGCTCCTATAAGAAATAGTTGTATATTAAAATGTTTGATATGCATAAAACTTCTGATATTATTTATGTGCACTTGAAGCAAATAAGCAGAAACAAAAACAGAAAAACAAAAACCACATAACTAACCTCTAGCTTATTTGGCATGTTCCATCTTTATATCTCATCTGACAATAGATGACAGTCCTTTCATGAGTACATCAAGCCCAGGAGGTCAAGGCAATTGTGGTTAACTCCCAGCTGTGGTTGTTTATCTGAAGTGTATCTAAGCCTCTTGAATCTGCACCACTGAGCTGGAAATCTCTCAGCACCAACCCTTCCTTCTGGAAGGGCAGGGATGAAGTTATTAGTGCTTTTTCTAAGGTTAACTACACCTGTTTTTAAAACCCAGAGACTTAGCTGGGAATCAAGTGGAGAAACACAGGAAAGAAGGTGGGCTAAGATTCCACCAAACTCCAAATATGCTGAGAGTTCTTGTCCACTACAGGAGTGTTCCAAGCTGTAGTAATTTTGGCCAAAATTAGGTATGAATGCTTTGCAGATGCATTGCCATGTGTAAACAATGCCTGGCAGTTCCCTAGGGAAACACAGTATGCATCTCCATCCACATCCAGCTTGCTTCCTGGTAGAAAATTCCATTTGCCTTTGGCGAATGTGTGATATAAAGGAACTACTGCAGAACCACTGCATCATTTAGTGTCTGTGTATTGTGGCCAGAGCCTTGAGGCTAATCTGCACTGTCTTTATTTTTCCCAAAAATCTGGAGCTCTGCCTCTACCTTTTTCACCATCCAGGATGCTTATATCTCGTCATTATATTAGTGAAATCACCACACTTCAACTCACATGTTGGAGTCAGTGAAGTCTCAGTAGTTTTCAGCTGAGTTTAGAATAAGTGTGGTAGGTGCTAGATAAATACAGAAAGTTTGTCATAGAATCATAGAATATTCTGAGTTGAAAAGGAGCTACTGGAATCATCAGTTGGTACGGCGCTTCCACAGAGATGTTTGTCTCTCAAATCTGTGCCATAAGAGAGTGAATTTGTTTAAAAGAAAACTAAATGTTATGCAGAAAAGCAAGGGACAGCCTTCTCCCTAAGGAACTGAACTTATATTTAAGCTGTTGCAGTGGTAATGTGTGAAAAAGCCAAAAGCAGAGTAGACTTTGACAAATAGTGCAAGTTTTGGCATTTGCTCCAAATATTACTGGAAGAGGATCATTCAGAAAGGATGCTGTTAAGTGAAAGTGGACCCTAACTCAGATTATAGTAAATGGAATTTTTTTTACAAATTCTCAGCTGAAGAGGTTTCCAAAAATGGTTATTAAAACATAAAAGTTTTGCCACTGTTAACAGCCTACCCATTATAGCAGTGACCTAAAAGCGAGGGAATAAAAATTTACTGTTGGTAACAAAACTGTCTAGAATATGTTCTTCACAGTCCAAAAGGAGAAATGCAAATACCATGTATTTATAGTCAGCCCTCAGAAACTGGGAAAATGAACAGTGAATGAGCTGTTTTCTTTCTGCTTTTTATAACTGGAAATATTTTTCCCAATTAAACAGTTGGAGGCCAGCAATTTCATTTTCATATTCAATATTTTCTTGAGTAACAGCTATTGACTGCAGCAAGGTGTTATCTCTGTAAGAACAACAGGACTTGATTTTTGGCTCTTAGTTTGACAGTGTTCCTTTAATGCTCAGAAGTACATGTGTGTCCACAGTTCTGAAATTTATTTTAAGTATAAATTTTGAGTTAATGCATTTTTAAATTGAGGCAAATTCTCAGTAGGATTCCAAAAAGGAAAGTGCTAAAATTCTGCTTCTATTGAAAGGGAGATTAAAATTCCCAGTGGGAGCAGTTGGAGGGCAAGGCTGAGCACTGCTGAAAATCCCACCCAGCACTGGAAACTCCCTTAAGCTGATATCTTTGTCTCTCCTTATTAAGTATTAACCACCACAGAGGTATTGGCCTCAATTTGTGTGAAGAAACCTTTTTGGTGACAGCAAGAACTGACTGTGTTTAACACCTGGCAATGGAGAAGATGATCTGCACTCTTGTTACATTTCTGCTGTTGTTTATGAGATGCTTGGGTGTATTCAGTGTTGTTTTCTGCAAGCATGAAAGAGAGAGGGGAGGGTTAATCAGATAATTTTAAAGCTGAGCTGTGTTTGATACAATAGAATTCACTTCTTCCTCCAGTCTAGCATGTCTTGGGTACATCATGTGGTTTCTGCGTTCTTCATTTCACTCTGTAAATATTTTAAAGGCAGTGGCTATGAGGTAAACCTACTGAGAATGGTGAAGTGTTCAAATTCTTATGTAATAGAGGGCAGGTACATGGCTCAGGCAGACTGGAAATGATGTCGCACAAAGCAATCTGAGCATTGCACATGTGTAGCTGGAAGGTAATCAAAGAGACACTCAATTTAAAGATATGATGCACAACAACAGACAAGTGGAAAAATATAGAAGGAACATGAAGGAAGTCTTGCAAGTTATCTCATGAAAGCTGCTGAGAGGGAAATGCTTTTTGAGACTGAGATATCTGGCGAAGATGATTTCGTGCTGTAACGTGATAGCTGTTGGGAGACCTTGGCATGGAGCTTGTAGCCAAGCGTCACGTGAGGCACTGTTGGCTTCTGGGGATAAGATCCCCTTGCTTCGTTACATTATCATTGAGAAATTCCAGGGGACTTGGAAATAAACAAGTGCACAGTCCTGCTGCTGTGCCTGGAAGGACTGGGCTGGGGTGGTGTGTTTCAAACAAGAAATTATTTCATGCCTACTCAAGGATTAGTCTCCATGGCTTTATACATTCTCCTTCCGCAGATGTCAACGCCAGTAGGAATTACTCCTATTGTTTTAAAGCTCTATTAATCACTTGCTCTTGTGCCTTTGAAAGTAAGGGGTTTACTTGCCACAGTTGTATTACTCATACTCTGTTTCTTGCTTTGTTTTCTGGTAGAATACGTACACCAATGCAGACAAGCTTTTAGAGGCTGCAGAGCAGTTGGCTCAGACTGGGGAATGTGACCCTGAAGAGATCTATAAAGCAGCCCGGCATCTGGAAGTGCGGATTCAGGACTTCGTCCGGAGAGTGGAACAGAGGAAGCTTCTCTTGGACATGTCAGTCTCCTTCCATACCCACACCAAAGAGGTAAGATGTGCATGAGGGAATTTTTTCTGTGTTTTGCACTGTGCTTCAGGAGGCTGACTCTGGGCACAAACTAAAAACCCAGGTGACAGAAAAAGTGTCTTTGTCATGCCAGACTTCCAGTGGTTTGCTTGATGCATATGATGAGCTGTTTTAAACAGAAAACAAGATGTGAATGAAAAAATATAAACAGTATATTACACTAAAAAGGGACAGAATAACAAACGAATCAAATGGTGCTTAATTCACAACTAGAATGTATTGTTACAAAGCAGAAATTTGCTTATAGGCACATCAGTTGATGTTCACACTGCACACATGCTCGTAGTGTGATAGGTATCCTTAGAGAGACTCCTTTTAATGTAATGTTAATTAATGTAGCCATTATTATTAAGTGTTACTGGAAGTCTTACATTTTTTAATGAGACAGATTTCGCTTTTCAAAATTACGGGTAAAGAGCAAACTACCACATATTAATACGGTGAATCAGTGAGGACCTGAATAAATGCAGTTTAGTATAATTGAAAAATACCCAGAGATAAGGCCGTCTCACCAGAGATACAGTGGACAGGCCGTCAGATGGGAGGCCACTGGGGATGTAATTAAAGCATACTTCACATTTTTTCTGCAGACCAAAGGCCATTCAGTGATGAGTGACTTTTAAAGACAGGCTTTCTGCTGAGATGGAATTAGTTAGAATGGTTGTTTTCATGCCCTGTAGCATCTGTTTGCAGCAGTACATTAAATCAGAAAGATGCTCTCAGAATCCGAAAGCTTTACGCTTTGTTTGTTGATTTACAAGTTTCAAATGAGTTGCATGCAGCCAGCTTCAGTGTGTTAGGGAGCACCCTTAAATAGAGGGTGTATACACATGTGTTCCTTCTGTGTTTATTGAATAGTATCTTAAAAGTGTCCAGTCCGTATATGCCCATTCTGATGACCAGTGTCATTAATGTCAGTGTCTTCTGTCATTCTAATGACCAGTTTTAGAAGCACTCCCAAATATACCCTACTATTGACCAATGTCATTAGAATGACCAGTGTCATTAGAATGGGTATATTTGGGAGTGCTTCTTTTCCTTATTCTTGTCCAGACCAGTGTTCATCATTAACACATTCAGCACTTCTGCTCATCAAACATTGTATAAACACAATGGTTTGGTGGTGTCAACGGTTTATGGGCTGGTCCGGCCCAGTTCCGTGACCAGCAGGGCGGAGGGATCTGCGGATCCGCGCCTCTGGGAAAGGGGAAGCAGGGGACCCCAAAATACTTGAAAACAACAGCACTGATCTGAGGTGGAACAAATGATTTTACTAAATATAGTGTTAGTAAAATACAATGAGAGAGAGAGAGAGAGAGAGAGTCTGTTTGAATTGTATAGACCTCACCACAGTGCTGGGGTGAGAAGTGCAGTCCAGTTGAGTGACTGAAGTACAGACGGCGAAGTGCAGATGGCGAAGCGCAGGCGGCGAAGCGCAGATAGCGAAGCGCAGACAGCGAAGAGCAGGCGAAGAAGAAGAATCAGGTGACCTTGCTTGGAGTTATATCCCCTTGCTGACCGCAAAGTCTCCTGGGGAAATGTAGTTCTTCTCCGACAGACGAACATTCGGCAGATATCAAACCCCACCCCCAGTGCATTACATGATGTTATGGTGTGGAATACTGATGACCAAAAATCATAAAACCATGACAGGTGGTAATAGATTGGTGGAGGGGGAGAAAGCAGCACTATGCCTGTTAAAGCTATTGATACATGAAGGTATACATTTTCATAGCATCTTAGAATGATTGTTCTGCTTCTGTTATGCATAAAAAAACCCCAAAACTAGTTACTTTAAGCTTGTGAATAGTGCTATTGTTTCCCAGATAGTTCACACACTTGCAGCTACACGGGTTTGCCACAGGGGAAACTTAATTAGTTATTTCCTCAGTCAAATTATTTCATAACAGTTTCCTACTGTGATTAACCTCGCTTCACCTATGCAGCTGGTGACTAGTAACACTAAAATAGACAAGACTCTAGGAAGCTATTAATGTAATGTTTTCTATCATTTAAATTTCTTCTGATGATTACTGGTACTGACTTGCCTAATGTGGGTTTAGGAACTAGAGCTTCTCTGTATGGTTTTGGATTGCTGTGCAGTACACTCACCTCTGCTGTTCTTCAACCAGAATGGAACTAGCCAGCCTTACTCACCTCGTTTCAGTGAGCCCTCTTCTGGTATATAAAAATGCAGATGTATAAAAATGCCAACATTTTTAATCTGGTAACAAATCCAGTCTTTTGTAACAGCATCAGTGCTGTTTACTACGTACTGAGAGTGAGCCCTAAATCTCTTCCTCATTGTCATTCACCCATTGGACAGATGGACACTGTGATCTATCTTTGGAAAGCCCAGTAAGTATCTGCAATCATTTAGGGAGTTCTGGACTGAACAGATTCCTCTGGGTACCTAAGCTCTTTCACTACAGAGAGACAGATGGGCAAGCTGTGGCATAAAAGTGGGACATGAGCAAAGTCAGGCTAGACCCAGAGGTCTACATTCACCTAGCCAGATAACAGCTGTTGGGTTGGGTGCAAAGAGGCTGCAAAAATTATTGTGCTTTCCAGCAGCTCCTCCAGTGTGGGAGGAGGCACAGTAGCTCTGCAAGAGAAGGGAAGTTTTCACATCTTCATCCCTTCCACTCATGGGAAGGCCAAGCACTCTGTTTTTTGGCATATTCACTATTTTTCATTGTGTGTCACTACCTGCCTCCTTCAGTGATGCATTCGTGCATCTTGAGAGCACTGGTGAAAGTCACACAGTCCAAAACCTCAGCCAAAAATAATGTGAGGAGATTGCTGTGGTTTTAGTATTTGTCTGCCAGCTGTGGGGATCCCCACAGACAAAGTGAGGTCATTGAAGGCTGATGGAGAGACCTGGCGAAAAGGGCAAACCGTTACAAGAGAGTCTTAGAGCACATTTGGATCTGTGCTTGTCTTTTTTACAGCAACAGATTGGCTGTTGTAGAAATGACTCATTACCTGGCCTTGCTTGGACCTTCATGTACATTGTAAAATGGCAATTTAACCGATGTCATTTTCATTCGTCAACATGAAAAGCAGATAATAGAATTCCTTAAAAATGAAGAAATACAAACATCCTTCCTTTTCCACTTTGCCTCTGATAGTATTATATTCTTTTTCTGTTTCACACCAGTTGACCTCACTTATTTCTCCCTGGGCTCTGACTAGGAGATGCGCTCAGCTATGATGAGAACTCCCAGCCTGCAGGGCTGGGCTGGGCAGGGTGCAGGTTCTAGCTTTATTCACTTGTGCAGGCCAGATCTGCACCATCCATGCTCATTTTTTGAAACTGCATAAAAATAAATCCACTGTACTAGGTAGCATTTTAGATAGCATTAGACTCCAGTTTTAAAAGTAGAATTCATCAAGCGAAATTCCCTTTGAGTCAACAGCAGTTTATAGTTGAGTTAAAGGAATGGTTTGGAGTCAGATTTAAATTCTAGCAGATGTCAAGGCAAGAAATCCTTTTGCTGCAGCAGTAAAATAGGGGAACATCTGAGATCCATCGCTGCTGTTTTACCAGGAGGTATTCCAGTTGGAGTGCCAACACATACCTCACTGATTAACCTTGCCTTTGACCTGCAGCACTGGCCTGATACTGCACTGTATTCTGCCCATCTAAACCCTTCACCTGGGAGTGTCCTGAGGCAAGGAGAGAACAGTTTGATTGGCATGCTGGTATGTTTAACACCTGACATTTGGTATTATTCAACAAGGCATTATTAATTACTTAATATAACCATCATTATTCATTTCAACATTTGTAATTCTTAAAGAAAACCATTCCTTAAACGATTTGCAACTGCTTCTCTTATGTCCTTGGAAATTAATAAACAGTTGGTTTAGTGTTTTTTGGCAAAAATGCAAGAAACTACAGACTGGCTGTATTTTTCATCTACGTTTCCCAAATACTCATTATTTCTTGATATATTAATCTACTGAGACAGAACTGGTGAAAGGGAGAGTTAAGTAGAAAAAATCAGTCTTACTGACATGGTCTTTACAGAAATATTCTAAATATCTTCCTGCAACAAACATGTCTTCCCAGCACAGATGAATTACACTTGTGATGCAGTGGTTCCCAGATGTGACTGAGTGCATGGGCTGTGAGCTTCTCACACTTTCCCCTGTACTCTGCCCACCTCTGCATCCCCACATGTGACAACCAGCATTCCAAGAATCTGAGAAACTTTTCGCTTTTCCCATTTCTGAAAAGCTCTCTTAACAAATGAATGTTTCTTTCTGAAATCTTCCTTGCTATAATTTCTTCAGGGCAGCACATAGCACTGAGTTAAATTTAAATCCAGACACCCCATGAGCAATTAAAATTAGAATTGTGAGGATGTTTTTGTACCCCCAACAGACTCGAATCACTGTTCATTTCATGTCAGAGCATCATAAGAGAGAGGACTCTTCATGCTAAGCAGTGACATTCAGCTGAAGGAATATGAAAATGACTATCAATTAAGCAAACCAATAATTCAGGATGGTTTTGATTGTTTGGGTTATTTTAATTGTCATGAATACGTGCAGTAGTCTGAAATGATGACTTTCTGATATGGCAAAAACATTTTAGTGACACAAATGTAGAGCTGTCCCCTTAGTGACTGTTAGTATCATAACTTATGAGTGATGTAAATTTCATATTGTCATTTTTATAAGAGTTGTCATGTCCCACTGTCCTGCAGCACTCATTATGCTCTCTTAGTTTATAGTCGACATTTTCTTTCTTTTTTGGGCCAAGGCATTCCTGACAGCGTGAGCAGAAACTTGCTACCTTGGGAATCAAATCCAATTATCAGTATGGCAGGGTAAAGTTATAAATTATTGTCAGTGGGATAAATGCATTCAACAGACTTGTACCTGAGTCACATCTCTCAGGATTAAGGGTGATTGAATTCAGGTTCTTATTTCAGATCTGAATCAATTAGTGG